GTGTCCTTCCTAGCTAAAGTCGACGTCCCGGAAGCATCTGTGTGGTCCGTTTCGTCATCCGGGGTCGTCTGGACGAGTTCTCCGACCGGCGAGTCAATTTAAGTCAAAATCATACGGGGTGCGATGAGCGCCCAAAATGCGGCGTTCTCGAGCGTTCGGGTCGCAAAGAGGTTCCCTAGGGGCTGCTCCTATTAATATAGAAACTCGACTCGAGTCTCATGTGTCGGTTCTTATCAACTCAACGAAATGCCGAGGATTCGGGACCGCCCATACGAGACTCAAAGGATTTACGAGGTGACTGAGGTGAGTGACTCGAATTTTCTAAAGGGTGTGAGTTCCATACTAGTCCTCTAGGAGGGTCAAACAAGGGAAGCCTAAAGCTAGACCATATGCTCTAAGGAGAGAGATGAAGACCTCATCCAAAAATGAGGTTAACAAATGGACCCAAGGTGAGGCACAAATAATAAAAAAAACTTTTGAGTTCTATGTTCCCAACCACTATGCTAAGGTGGGTAGCATAACAAAAATTTTTTACAAAAATAAAATTAAAGTTGCTTAAAAGAAGTCAAAATAAAATTAAAATAATAATAATAATAAATGATAAAAACAAAATAAGTAAAAGATAAAAATTAAAATTAAAAATTAAAAATCTATCAGAAACTTGAACCTATATCACCAAATCAGTGTAAATTCTAAACCTAAATAATTAAATCCTAAATATACTTAAAAAGTGTTTTTTCAAAAAATATTAAATTAAGATGCTTAAATCATGTGCCTCAAGGTGTTCTCGAATGAAAAAAAGCATAAGCTTCACTAAAGCCAAAAGATCATAAACCTAAAGGCACTTACTGGCTGCCTTGAAACAAAAGCCACAAAATCCTTTTAAATAATACCATGCACTGTTTGATATTAAAGTCGCACATCTTAACCCGATGATCATACTTTGCTTGCACCCTAATATTAAACAGTGAATCATCCTAACTACAATCCATCATGATCCATGTTCCAGCTAGCCACTCACCACCAGCTTAGAATCTTGTCGTTTGTATCCCGTGTGCATGCTCGTGGATCACTTACAGATCAACATGCATTTTCACAAGCCAAATGCTCTTGCTAGCTTATTTATCTACTCACTTGCACGAAGGCCACTCGCAACACTCCCCTCAGCCGGACAGCACACTACATCATTTCTTGTGTGGCATCCATCCAAGCACAAGCTTCACCGCCTTTTTCCCTTTACAGTTGTTTCATTCCACTGCATCTATCTCCCAATCAACTTTGTTGATGTCTCATCACAGCAATAAGCATCTCGATAACAAAAGCCTTGCCATTCTCAATCATAAACCTCATAGCTTATGCACCCAGCTTCCCAGTCCTAGCTGCCTACAAAGCTTCTTTTATGATCCGAACTCCCATAGCCCAACAAATCCAAGCACCAAAACAAAAAAGGATTTTTCCAAGCAACCCTGAACTACACAAAGTTTTCATCTTCCCCAATTCATCCTCAAATCTTATATATCAAAAGGAAGAAGTTTTACAATAATCTACCATAATATCCTGAACTTTTGTTTCAAGCTTTATGGATTTCTTCATATGTAAACATGCAACGAACACCCAAGGAAATTGGCATTTCAATAGTGCATAATTATATCTAGAAGATACTGTACAAGCACAAATATTTGCCTATGGTTTTGCAAACTATCAACATTTAGTTCTGAATTAACATTATTATTTAAGTGGCATGTTTCATTGAGGTCATAATCCTTTATTTAAAAACTATTGTTTTGGTATTTTGGATACGATTCATATCTAGCAAAGATTAATTGGACAGAATATTTCATAAAGGTTAACTCTTCAATCATTGCAAGGACGGAGCTCCCGCCTTATATCTCGCCGAATAGGCTCGGGAATGTATCTCCGATGTGGCATGGCTAGGGTATAGGAATAGCAAGGAGAAATTTGGTGGACATAGGGTTTGGGGAAATCGGAAGAAGTGGTTGAGGGTGTGAATGAAAAATTTTGGTGGAAGGATAAGGTGGATGCTAGGACCTAGGATAGGACTAGGGTTAGGCTAGCATGATACCAAATATTATCGGACCGAGTAAGAAAAACAGTGGGAGCACAATAACAAACTTCTATTAATAGGGAAATAGGGTTACAACACAACGCAACTAGGCGTAACCACACAAAACATAAACAACACAAACAAACACTTCTAAGATGTATCCCGACAGGTAGTGGAGGTCGACTAGAGGGATAGGGATGATTGGAAGGGATGATGACAGCCAAGGGATGCTGGTGGCAGCGAGGGAGGGTGAACAACTGTAGGGACAACAAGTAGGAAGGGCTGTAGGTGGTCAACAATGGCTAGTGGGGTGGCTGGGAAGAGTTGGGAAGAAGGTAAGAAGGCGGGACAGCAAGGTATGGCAGCAGGTAATGGGCAGCCGAGTGTTGGGATGAAGGGGGAGGGTTGGACAACATGAATAACATATAGAAAAGGGGTGGTTGGATGTTGGGGTGACGGAGGGGGGGAGGTTGGCAGTTGAGGAAAGGGGAGAAGAAGATTTGTGGAAGGTAAAAGGGAAGGATACAATACCACATTGAAGTAGGATACAGTCAGAGCACCACGACCTCATCGGATACAACCCTAGAACAAGGAGGACTCCACAGAGGAATCTGAAAATAAACATAACCAAAAAATTAATCCTAAACTCTGAAACAATGAAGAAATATCTCCCGCACGAAGGAGAAGCAGAAAAGAAAGGAGGAGAGGGGCGGGCGGTAGTCCCAGCCGCTTGGCCTTGGTTAACCTTGGACCTGCCTCAATTGGGCCAACCGGTTCAATAGCAGGAACTCCCGCTGCGAGAGACCCCGCTCTCGTGTCAAGGAGTCCGTCCACTCCCGCGTCTGTCGATGTTCAAATTTAAAATTTATTCATTTATATGACCAGCTTTATAAATTCTTTTATCTAAATAAGAAACATAAAGAAGCCTTATATGAACTAAGATAGAGTTATTAATCAAGTATACTAGTACACTTACAACTCTAATCTCACTAACTTCTGCTTGTAGGCCTAGGTCTAAGAATGAGGAAAATCAAGAGTATTAAGATTTTTTTTTTTTAATGAGCATGAAGATTATTTGAGAATGAGTAGAAGGCGATACTTGAGCAAGAAATTTTGCTAGAGGAACTATTATTTAAAAAAAATTAAGGAGTCATCAGTCACTACTTGTGCTCCACAACCACTATAGACGAAGATATAGATTGCACCCCAACTTCCTATATTGCAGCTCGCTTCATCATAGGTTGACTTCCTTTGTCCATATTTACCAATGTTAGATTACTGCATATAATGCCATAGTATTTAGTATTAATTTATACCACTGCCATGCAATGATGAGATCGTATGTGAGATTAGTTTAAAAACAATGCCAAAGTCTCTAAATTCTTCTTTCTACGCCCTAACCTACAAATAAAAGATGTTAGTGAAGCAAGTCATCCATAATGCATGCAAGCACAAGGCTTTTGTGTAAACACTTCGAAAGAAGACTTATTGGGATCAATTGATGCAACAAACAAATTAGATTTAAATTAAGTTCAATAATTTCAATTAAATTAGGATTTTTAATTATATTTGATTAACTAACATTAATCATCATTTTGAATAATATTAAACTAGGCAGTATGCTCACTTTAAAAAGCCTTTTGTATTCATTACGGAGAGGACGTGCCTCTAAAAAATCCTAGCATGTGTCTAACATGCTGAGAAAATTTTATGAATTAGTTTTTATTCCAAATTTAAAGCCAAACATAGTCGGAATCTAACATAGTCAAGGCTCGCCTAGAAATGGCAAAAACAAGCATTGGAACAGAACAACACAAACAAGTTGTTCCTGGTTCAACAATTTTAGTTCAAGTTGGACAGTCAAATGTTTCTTTGTTATACCAGTTTGATCTAACTAGTGATACATCAACATGTTCATATTTTATGTAATTATTATAAAGATTAAATAATCCATTTTGGGTTATGGGTATATTATGTAGTCAGCAAAAGCATAAAGGCATGCTTAATAATTAATGTTAATGTTGATGTGGCGTTTGGAATGAAGTTTACTTGATGAAATATTGAAATATAATTATAAGTACACCGTGTTAGTTTTTCTTTTAATGGCCCTTAATCTTCTACATGATACATACAATCTTATAATTTATTGTGTGTTAATTTTTTTTTATAAAAAACTTCCATCCCGTGTTCTAGCTATGCAGTTTATAATAATAACTTCTAAAAACAATATTATATCATGGCGCGTCATGTTCTGCCTTTTAAGTTTATTTCATGTCCTCATATCTATGTCTCATGTTGATGTTCATGCTTCCGAGACATTAGGGCATTTTTTAAAAGATAGAAATCTATCCCAAGTATTTTATTGATTGAGAGTATGACAAAAAAACAATAATAAATAAGTAGGCCGGTATAAAGCTACTTAAAAATTAAGAGGGCATAAAGCCGATTATAGATCAAATAAAAAGCAAGGATCTAGCGAATACTTAATTTAGAGAATGAATGAGGCAAAAATAAAACCAATGACCTCTAACTAAAGAACTAGGGAGCATAGCATATCACTTGACTTATAATTCTTTCTATTCTTTTGATGTCAATTTGCATAAAAAAGCAATGCATAGTAAGAATTTGACTAAGTTCTTAAAATTTAAGAATATTCTCTTGCAATCCTAGAATTGTAGTGCGGAAAGTCAAAGAAACTTTAAATAGAAGTTTGGTTGGTGGAAAAAACCTATCTCTTATCAGCATATAAAATACAAGGAAAAATCATTAGAGCATGTTGTAGTTGTTGTGATTCTTTTTAATGTACATAGTACAATCAAGCAAAGTCTCATTTGTATCCATCTCCATTTCTCATATGTCCATGATCTTGAACTCTTTGAATGTTCTTTCCTAGCTACAACACAATGATGTCAATAATATAGTTAAACACAATTACCTGGATGATCAAAATTATAGTCATTGGCACGTTCAGCGTCCTCTGCAGTCAGACCTCGATAAAATGAATCCTGTAAGTTCCATGTAAATTTGAGTGAAATAAATGTAATAATTTAAATAAAAAAGGTGAAAGAGTCATAAATTTCAAAAGTATATTACAAAAATAAATAATGTTTCACCAATTAAAGTCCTATATGGCATGTAATTAAACTTATTCTATCTATTCCAATATAAACATCTAATACTGCTCTAATTATACCAATTATATATCAGAAAGTAGCGTTTCGACTCAACACCACATTAAGTGTTCAATCTTACCATGTTGAATACTTCAATAAATTAGTAGCATTACTCTTATGGGTTGTAAAATTTTGTTAAGCATTTTTACTCTTATCATATTGTGTTAGGCATGGCATCTAGTGGCTCTCATTATTTTATAATCCAAGAAGAAATTCTTGACACTATTTGCAAACCTCCCGAATACTTTCTGGTACAATGTCAATATTTTGGGCATATTTTATGAAACAAATAAAAATATAATTATGAAAATTAAGATTATCAAATTTTATTTGAAACTCCTAAGACATAATGAGAACTATAATTTTACTCCTATTAAGTTGTTGTAACTTGAAGTAGCTTATTATTATTATTATTATTATTATTATTATTTGTTGTTCTTGCTCTTGTTCTTGTTGTTGTGGTTGCCATTGTTGCTACAATTAATAAAGTGATTAATACTAGTGGTATTATTATTATTATTATTATGGTCACTTTTTTTGTTGTTGGTGTTATTGTGTTCACCCATAACATGTTCGTATTCCCCTATAAGTGCATGCAAATTATGCACATATCCAACAAGTTTTAACACAATACATCAGCAACAATAGCCAATACCATAGCCAAACATCCCACCTTGCTGAATGAGGACTCCATGAATCATCCTTTGTTCACCGTCACCATCAAGCTTCATGAAGAAGCTACTGCTACTTTGAAACCCCATTTTTCATTGTAAGTTTTTCACGTTAGGTTTCTAGTTCTCCTTAACAAAACTTTTCACATCCCATTACATGAGAAAACCTTTCATCAGTCTTGCAAACGTGCACTAAACAAACAAAAAAAATGGACTGAATAAAAATATTGGGCCTAAAATAAGTTTGTAGACCAAGAAACAAATTTGAGAACCATTGCTTTAGTTTCATATCTGACACAAGTAAATAATCAAACTAAAATAGGGGCATTTACATAGATAACACAAAATTCTTATGTATTTGCACATCTAACACCTAAACTTTTAGACACATATTACTCAAATCTTTAATATCGAATAAAAAATAGCACAATTACCGCTTTTTAAAAGTCAAATACAAATTTTCATGAAAATCTTTTAAGCACCAAAGTGCTATGTATGTAAATAAGGAAATTTAGGTGTGAGATATGTAATTACATAATAATTTGGAGCTACATATGTAAATTTCCCACTTAAATAATTTTTGTATTCTAAGGCCAAGGATATAACTTTATATTCTAGGAACCTTTGAGAAAGCTACTCCCATACTTTCTAGTCATCTTACCTAAACTTTTTGGTCCAATTTGAGCATTATAATTCCCTTCTCAACATTCAATTTGCTTTTATGTGCATTCATGATTGCTCAACATACACACCAATACTATTTCCAGCTAAATCATTGGCATGAGGTTCAAACCTCAATCTGGCAACTCTAAACTCTAAAACAGCTCAGAATTAAACAAAATACCCGGATAATGCTGCGAAGAAGAGAAGTAGAAAAGACAAGTGAACAATTTATGATTTATCATTTCCTAAAACTTCTAAAATCATTAAGAACTACCAGTTATACCAAACCACACAATAAAATCAACTACTCAAAGAAATAAGCGAATCATTTATTCGCGCTACTTGTATATGTTCATGTGATCATCGAGCCTACTTACAATTCATAAAATATAAACAAACAAGAGCATGAGAAGAAAAATCAGTCAATGATAATGATACTTGTCCCTTTACCTGATAAACAAGAACAACCCGTTGATCATGAAGCTGCTGGATGATCATATCGCACACAGTAGTTTTCCCGGAAGCCGAACCGCCCGAAACCCCTGCACTGCAGAAGCAATTATTCCCTATCAAAAAGAACAGGATAAGGAGTAAATTTGGATTAATTTACAGAGCGTACCAATTACAAAGGGCTGCTTAGGTTCTTCAGGCGAGAAATCGTCGGTGATCACTCCAGCGACGGAGGCCTTAGCGGAGGATGGCGACGAAGGGAGGGATGAGGAAGATAAGCGGAGGGAATCGAGGCGAAGGCCGCTGAAGTGTGGGCCTGAGGCCGCCTCCATAACGTCGTCCATGGCCTTGTCTGGCATCCTCTCCTTTCTCTCCTCTCTCTCTCGTCTCTCCTGTGTCTCTCGGCCTCTCTGAAGTTACGGTACTCGCACCTAAAAATAACCTGCAAATGACGTCTAAGACATCTCGCGCGAAAGACATGTCGTGCGACAGAGTAAAAAAAAGGCGCAGTAACATAGAAATATTCTCAATTCATATGTTATTCATGTGTTATTGTGTTATTATAACACCAAAAATATTCTCAGGACACAATAACACATGAATAACACACAATCACACTTGAATAACACTAGAAATATTCCCGACAGAAAAAAACGGCGCAGTAATACTGGAGAATATTCTCTCCCGTGTTATTCTTGTATTATTGTGCGTGTTATTCTTGTATTATTGTGTGTTATTCATGTATTATTCATGTGTTATTGTGTTATTATAACACCAGAAATATTCTCAGGACATAATAACACATGAATAACACACAATTCCTCATGTTAATGCGACGTTTTCTTTTATGTGTCGCGCGGGGTATCTTGGCGTGATTTCATTGGCTACGGACGTTACTCTATGTGCGTAGTACTGATCTAATATTTTTTCCATACAAGTTCTACATCAACTCCCTCTCACTATAATTACAAAATACCTATAAATATGTTTTTCTCTCTCTATCCACGTTTTTCCTATTTATTGCATCAATTGATTCAGATTCGTGCAAGAGCTTAACTACAGCCCATTTATTTATTATAAAAGAAAAAAAAATATTAATTTAAGTTGGTGATATAATAAAAAGATAAATAAGATTAATAATTAAAAGATAAATAATAACAAATCATTTGAGCTCTGGTCATGAGTCAAGCCGCTTGAGCTTGGTTTGTTAGCTCATTGAGCTCTGGTCATGAACCACTTATTGAGCGAGTCCAACTCATGAGTTGGTTTTCCTCAGTTACACTCGTGCTAACACCTGAACTTCAATTTGCACATGTATGTCATCTTATTTATACATGAAAATGTGCATTTAATTTTTTATAGAGTTAAAATAATGGTATTTTTATTTGGTATGAAAATTTTGGATGAAATAATAAAAATAAATAAATTTTAGGCATTTGATATATAAAAAAATAAGAATTGGGTGGAGCACACCAAAAAAATGTTTTGCACAAATTTCGAGATAATTTAACGATAAAAAAAAAAGCTAAATAACGAAAATACCTCAGATAAAAAGTCAGGAGTCCTTGTGAATCAGGCTGGTTGAAAACTACCAGTCGATCGATAGCTAGATGGTCGAATGGCTAATGACCGACCAAAGGTTAAATGGTCAAAGGGTCGCACAGCCCAACTAAGGATAAGCATCAACACCAACGACTGGTCAAAGTTCTGACTCCCCCATCAATCTAATAAGTCTCAACCTGAAGCTCTCAACTCCCCCAAAGATCACCAAGAAATAGGCAAACCAACCAGCCATATGAAAGTCGATCGGTCGCCGCACTCAAAACCAACTGTTTTCTAGAGCGAAGCCCCCGATCAGTTCCCAAAAAAAATAGCCGACCGAAATCAGCTCGGTTGACCAACCCAATGACCTTTCGAGCAAAAGGCCCATGCACACTGAAAAATAAATAACCTATTAAAATAGTTATAAATACGAAAAATGTGTCACATAAATTGTAACGCCCTTATTAAAGCAGGGGCAACCATATAATTATACTTTTTAACTCTCTATCTCTTATAAAATAGGGGATCATAACATGTATTAGGGGATTTTGGCCACATCTTCTTCTAAATCCATCTTTTGTAGGGAGAATTCTCTCTCCTTCTCTCTTGTACTCATTCTTTCCAATATATAAAATAGGTTGCATAGTTTGGGAACACCGCATTCGCCCCTATGAGGCAAGCTTGTGGGCAATATCTCTTTTCTTCTCCCTCTCTATCTCTCTCTCAACCTCTCTCACAGTTTCTATCGCTCCGATCCTTGAGCATACCTCACAGGACAAATCTAGATTCAACAGGTAGTGTGTATGTAAATGCCTCATTTTTTTAATGAGGTGGGTACCTTTTAAAAATGAGAAATTTAACTGATTAGCACACAATTCTCATGTATTTGAATGTCTCACTTCTAAACTTTCATATATACATACATAACACTTTCAAGCTTTAAGCCAGTACATGGAAAAGATGTACTACACTTTTGAAAAGTAATATTTTTTACTTGATATTAATGACTTTAGTGTTATATATGTGTAAATGAAAGTTTAGGTGTAAGATATGTAAAACATAAGAATTATGCGCTACGTATGTAAATGCCCCATTGAGTGACTTGATGCATTCAAGTGTGCTTGAATCAACTCAATGAGCTAGATTGGGTCTCGAACTGCCCCTAAGGCTCCCAATTAACCATAGGGCTCATGAAATTGTCCTTAAGTACATCTTATTATGAGATGGCTCGTTGAGGTTCCTTTTAGATTGGGTCTCGAACTACCCCTATGCCCAATAACAAATATTAAGGTTTTAAAAAAAAAAAAATAGAAACACAAATTTGACATTGAATCAAATCAACCAACCTTATTCGATTCAATTCAATTTTTCGATTTCGACCAATAAATACACACCTCTAAGTATGCCATAATTTTTTCTTTTGAGCAATTACATAAGGAACACATGAATCTTGCAATTTACAAATATACCACCTTCTTTCATCTAATTTTCAAATTCTCACTCAAATACAAAAATTTGTGATAAAAACAACAAACCATAGCTTTCATTTTTCTCAAATTCTCAATATTTTGATCGTGACAAGCATAAGTAAAGCTTTTCAGCAGTCCTGAATAATCATATTGGCAGTTAATTTATAAATATCAATATTTTTGGTGGTCCAAATGTAATTATTCCTTTTTTTGTGAAAGGTATATGCAGAGATGCATGCGCTGTCCGACCTCAACCGTCGATCAAAATAAAATTGTATTTCGGTGAGTCCCATTTTTTTTAACATAAAAGCAAAAAAAAACTCTTGATCTATGCTTGAGATCGGACAGTGTTTGTGCTGTCTGTATGGAATAAATTTTCCTCAAATTGAGAGATATGTTGCTTTGCTTTTAAATAATATTCATAGACAAAATTTTTTAATTAAAATAATAAATAAATCTAAAACACTGAGGACTCCGTGGCCCAATGGATAAGGCGCTGGTCTACGGAACCAGAGATTCTGGGTTCGATCCCCAGCGGAGTCGTTTTTTCACCTTTTAAAATTTTCGGATATAAATTATTAATAAGATAAAAATAAAAATAACACACGTACTCACAATTCCTCTCTATTTACATATATAAAATTTAACATGTAAATTAGTTTTACCTAAATATTTTTTATTTTTTAAAAAATAACGAATATTGTATTACGCAAAATTTAATTTATAGTAGTTTAAGCCAGCATAACTTATAGAAAAGTGGAAGCTAGAATGCATTTCCTATCTCTCATGTTGATAGAAATTATAATTGAAGTAAATAAAAATAATTGAAAATTGGTTATTTTACTCTCTCTTACATTGTGTAAGTGGTAACTAAATGTTAGTTTGGGGCAGCTTATAAGTGCGGGCAGCGTCGTACCGTTTGGTTCGCACGTTTCGTCAGTTTATTTGAAACTGCTTTGGGTTTTTACACTAAACGCGGTGCACGGGTCTACCCCTGTGGTCAGCCCGCGGGCCGCGTTTCAGAACAAACAGCTTATCTAGAAACGCACAAGCTGCCCCAAACGGATCCTAAACCCCGCGGTTTGTTGTTCAACCGGTTTTTTACCCCATAGTTGAGATTCCCCAGTTGAACAAATGTTACACTTCGACATTTTCTCTCTTTTCATGTTCTATTTTATTTATTTTTTTTTGTTGCGGACATTATTTTATTTTAGAGCTTGACATATTTGTATATCTCCCAGTTTAACGACGAAAAAGAGAATGAGATTCTCGCATATTCAAAATACCGCATATGATAGCTAAGTGTGACCTATAGTTGTCATTTTGGTAAGTAAATAAAAAAGTATGCTTGCAAATGTGACCCAATCATTTTCATTTTTTTAAGAGTTTTATTTTGGTTTGGTTTTTTAATTGAAGGAAGAGTTTTTTTTTTTTGTTTGCTTTAGTTCTTCGATGCATTTGAAATTGTTTTTTGAATGTTATTTTAAAAGAGTTCATAACCTCACAATGTTTTTCCTTTTTATGTCTGTATATGTAGAACAAAATGAACATAAATGTTTTCTTTTCTTGTACAACCATGTGATGTATCTAAATGGGCTTAAATGTTCTCTGATTTATTTTTTCATCTTGTACAATCAAGTTGTTCATGGATTGTTTTTCTTGATTCTTTTTAAAAATTCAGATTTGTCAGATTTATTTGTCGTCATATAATTATTTTATTTAAATAAATCTCTCTCCCGAATCATATAAATAATTCAAATATGAGATAAATTGAAAAGAATGATATACGACGACAAATAGACAAATAAAGAAAAAGAAATAAATAGGAGACTTATATATGGGTAATTCCTGAGTAATGGGTCGAGAATATACGTCCAAACATGATCAGTTCGAAATACCTTGAAACACAACATAAATTTAGCGTTCTCAAGAATGATAACGCGACTAAAAATATATGTGTGATATGAGTAACGATTTTGTTAAATTCTAACCTATATGCATTGTAAACCACTAAGAAAAATTATTCTCTATCTCGTGGCTTATTGCATCGTCCTCAACTAAATTTAGCGAATCTATGAATAAACTATTTATGCATTGAGAAATTTATGAATTAGCTCATTATTATATTTTCATAGGAAATGTTGAACAACTATTAATAAAAAATGTCTTCCTCAATAAATAGTTGAACTTCGTCGCAGTTGAGAATAACATAAAGTGTCGTTGCCTGAAGTTACTAATTGTTGAGATAACATGATGTACACTTCTTTGATGTTTCCCCTAACTGCTAAAAAGTAGAAAGCGTTGAGGGAGATACCACACCCACCAACTCTTTTGTGGATTCTTCTTGCTCGACATAGAGAAAGTAGTAATCCTTTGCAGTAAATATGTCTTACATATTGATCATTCTAGTCGCGCTTTATTCTTCACAGTTCTCTTTAGTTTATTTTAAAATCTGTAAATAAATTATTATTCAACACAATTTAAAATTAATATTTATGAAGTAATAAATATATAGTGTGCTTGCATTACTGCATACCTCTCAAATGGATACATTCAACGATACTGTACTAAACCTCCAACTAATGCCTCTTATAATGGATGTACCCGTATATGCTTACGGAGTTGAAGTAACTAAGCTAGAATATTCTTTCAAGCTTGTTATTGAATGTTTGCTAAGTGTCGCACGCCATCAAGTTTTAAATGAGATGCACATGGTTCCATGAATAACATACTTATTATAAAAAGTGGATTTAGTGTTTTGCTTGGTAAGGAATTAAATGAGGTTGACAATAAATTTTGGAGGAAAATACGACAGTCATGACTTTTCATTATAAATATCTTTCCTCCGTACACATCAACTTAACAGCTCCAATTTAAAGAACGTCCACTAAAAAATGTTAATGATTGAAGCCATTCAAAATTTGATCCATGGTGCCTCAAAGCAAGAAAGTATTTTGCTTTCAACTTGATAATATTAAGAGCAATAATTTCTTGGATCGCAAACTCTCGCCTTTTGGAAATCTCCTTCATATCTAGTCAACCATTCAAGTTATCTTTAGTTTTTTTTTCTATTTAAAACTGTCACAGTGTTGAAGATATTGTCAAAATAAATAAATAAATTCTTTCTGTGCATGACAACAAGGTTGTATCTAATCATGTTATCTTTTTAGTAAGACATCCCAAAAAATGAACTTTTTTGTCCAGTTATAAGTAACACCAATGCACGTTGAACGATTTGAAGAAAGCTATGGGTTAACTGACTCAATGCCCAACATAAAAAATCTTATCTCCTGGCTCTGCACAAGTTTAGCCCCAACAATGGTTCCCTCACTCATCAGCAATAAGATCTGCATTGAGTGGCATGCAAATCATCATGACGACGAGTCTCAACAATTACCACGAACAGCTCCCCCCCACCCCCACCCCCTCGCGCGACAAAGGCAACGACAATATCTGCACCTGACAAATGATGAGGCCCGGCCAAGGCGACTGCTTAATCGAGTAAAATATATATGAATGACGTAAAACTTGAGCCGAACGGTTGATACAAATCAAAACCAACAAAAAAATCTCAAAATCGAACGCTTCATCATACATAACATCACAAGCAATTGAGTAATAAATGTAAAATGATAGGCACACATAAAAAAAAAAAATTCATTATAAGAAAATTTGTATATAATTTTTTTCTCCACGAGCACACAATTCAATTTGTTGTAGCCGAGCAAAATTCTTTCCTAAGTAAAGGTAAAAAAAAAAGAGAGAGAAAATGACTCATAAGTTGTCGATCTGTCGTTGATGCCAGCTCGTTCTTTCGCCGCTCCAACTAACTATTCATTGTTATCCTCTGAGTCGAAAAAAGAGGGTGGCAAACTGCTTCAAGTCAGCTCGCTTGAAGTTGACCAAGCCCACTTTAATGTAACTACAGGGGTCCAAGGAGGCTCACCTGAAGTTTCTTGAAGGGCCCCTCAATGTGCTCCTTGGTGGTCACCATCTTGGTCATTGCCGCCTTCAAATTCACATTCTCTTTCTTCTGGGCTGACATGGTCTCCTCGTGTTCCCTTGCCTCCATCTCCTGAATCTGAGTTGAGAACTTCAACCTTTTTTGAGTTCAAGATGACCATTGCTTTGCATTAAATGTTACACTATATATTACGTTAAAAGTCTTAAATACTAAAAAATAACACGAAAATTATAATTAAAAAAAAGTAATATTGTTAGAATATCAATCTTCATGTCCAAACAAGGAAGTCTCTTGGAGAATTTTCTTTCCAAAACTACTCTCTACACGTTGTTGTTATCTGAAGTGAACTCCTCATAGTTCTCGACTCATTTTCAAAAGTCACAATCATTAAGCATTTTGTTTCTGAGACACCCATAAAATTGTCTCCCATAGCTAAATCCTATATTTTCATTGGACTTACCATATAATTCTAATGTATTTACTTGTGAAACACCTAAATATACCACAGACCTTCAAACTATATACTCATGCATGACATTTTCCATGAATTATAAGTAACAACTAATGTCGAATAAAAATGGATTAACCATGCAATGCATTCTAAGGACATCCTCCCCATCAAACAACATAAGTCTGTAAAGGATCATATTATGATCACAACAACAACAAAAAATCATAACACAATCAAAGAAGATCATACCACGATCACGGAAAGACATGAAGGCATAAAGATCATACCACAATCATAAAAAAACGAAAATAACTACAAGACAATCCAAACTGAACAAATTACTCTACACCGTCAGTCCAACGTTCCGTCTTACATTGCATAAGTATACGAGGTAACATAAAATGCTCAAGAAAACAACAAACCCAAATTTCACAATAACTGCTAAAAACAAAAAATCCCAACGTAAATCATCCAAAAAAATCACAACCAAGGTCATTCACATGAAGCGATGATAGTAATGTAAAGAAACCACATAGCTTACGACGAATTACTCTCTTAGTTAGCGTGCCACAATTGGGAGCCCGCCGCACCCATGTCGCAGTTACAACGCACAAGCCAAACTAGCTGAAGGTACTTTGCACCCCACTGCAATGCCTAAAATACGGGTGTAAAAGAATCAAACACGAACAAACAAAGCTCGCGTCAGTGTTCGATTTGTTTGAAATTAAGCGTGTTTAAAATAGGCTTGTGTTTGAAATTGTTCTTGAAGTTACCATTCCTGTTCGGTTCGATTTGTTTGAAATTAATTCAAAATGTTTGAAATGCTCGAATTGTTCGAATTGTTCAAAATCTTTCAAATTTGCCTGCATTGGTTGAATAGTTAAAATGATAATAAATTTAATTATTATTTCTCAAATTTTTTTTGCGAAATTTGTTTGTTTTGTTCTAAATCTTTCAAATTTATTTGCATTATTTGTATTGTAAAAATGATAAGAAATAGTGCGAATATTTTCTTAAAAATTTTATACTCATCAAATTTTTTTTTGTTATGGCTCATGTTTTCTTCCATATTCAGTGGAGTTAATGTTCCACAGTGCACAATAGTTAATAGTGCACCATAACCTTGCTGCAATTAAAAAACAGTTACTTGAGGTGGCAAACAAATAAGGTGTAATCAAACACCACAAGCGACTGCCAACAAAGAATTTTATAAAGCTGAAAAGCAATGTATTGTCAACATACAAACAGTCACAATAAAGAACTTGATGGAATCATTTCTATGCTACTAGACCTGGAATACATATTTATTAAACTATCTGTTAGTGATTTTGCTTCGCTTCATTTCAGCATCATCACGTGTTACTTGATATTTAGTATCATTTGATTAATGCTTAAAATTGTATGTATCACAACACAAATGCACAATAGCCGAAACACAATTCACAACAAAACCATAATACTAGATTTCATCCATAAACAAAATTCAGATCTAAAAGTAATGTGCGAGATTTCACTCCCCAAAACATTCAAAAACTAGGCTTCACTAAAAAAAAAACTAAATAAATATGAAAGAAATATAAGAAAATTTAAATTAAGAGGCAAATCTGAAGATAAATATGAAATATTAAAGAAAGAATGCTCAAAGATGACACTTTGATAGCCTCACAAGCAACCAAGCAAGAATATCGAGCAACCAAACAAGAATACCGAGCAGTAGATCTACCACTGAGTCGTTGACTCCCCGAAGACAAAAAAACTTTATCGAAGATAAACAAAAGAAGAGATTACAGGACGTCAAACCCTAAGCTCTTGTGGTAGAAATATTTTTGTGATTTTGAGAGGAGGTGAAGAATCAGAAGAATGAGAGGTGACTGAAACCTAAAGCTTTCAAGAAGGGAAGGGGAGGCCGGTCGGGGTAAAGGGGCATAGGGATAATTTATAAAATTTAATTTTTTAAAGTATCATAAATTTTTTATGTATAATTATTTTAAATTATTTTATATTTTAGAACAGTAATAATTCGAACATGAGCAAATATGCTGTCCTTGTTCGCTTCATTTTTAAACGAAAAAAATTGATTGTTTTCGTCTCGTTTGCTTGTTAAATGAATCTAACACGAATGCCACATTCGTCTCTAAGAAGATAGAGCCAGGGAGAGGGAGGGAGGGAGGGAGGGAGGAGGGAACGGTGCCGCCTTTTGGCACAGTGGTCTGGCGTGGATCTTGAGGGGTTCAATTCACAGAGCTTGGGAGATGCTACTGAACTGCGCCGCCGTGAGCCCAGCCGCTGTTCGGGATGCTCCGGCGGTCGCGCAATGCCGGCGGCGAAAGCCCTCTGTTTTCTCACCAATTCGGCGGGCGGAGTATGCCCTAGCGGCCTTACGGTCCTGCCGGGTGGGTCCTGAGGCAGTCGGTTTATGCGCGCGGGAGACTGAGGAGGGCGCTGGAAAGGGATTTGCAGAGCGGTTGAGGCTGGGGAGGCTTGAAGAGGATGGGCTTTCGTACAAAGAGAGCTTCATTGTTCGTTGCTATGAGGTGGGGATTAATAAGACTGCAACCGTTGAAACCATCGCCAATCTCCTCCAGGTCCCCTCCAAAGCTCATTTTCTGTGTAGTTTTTTTTTTTTCTAGTCTGGATCTCTGAAATGGTTTTGGGTTCCGTTGTTTCATGCTTTCATTTCCAGGATGCATTGAATTTTCTAATTTAGTGAACTCGTTTCTAATTTGGATGAAGGTGATTCTTTTTTTATTTTAATTTTTAATTCTACATTTTAGCTTCACTTTTGCTGCATGTTTCGCTTTTCATCATTGCATATTTTACCGGAGATAGAGTTTGGATTTCCTCCACTTTCCTTCGGTCTCAAGTTCAAGTTTGTGGTCTTGGAATTGGTTTAGTGTTTTTTTTTTTTTTTTTTGCATTTATGTTGTTTTTGCATTTTGCATTTTTTAAAATTAAAAATTTAAATTTTTAACTTTGATTTGTCTAATCCTGTAATCCTTTATTGTTGTTATACATGACATAACTCCTTAAACCTTGGATTAACTAGAGGCATATGAGGCAGGGTCCATTTGGGATGGTAGCAGCTGCATGCAAAATCAATGTGGAGTTGTGATAGTTTTTTACAGTTTAATTTACATGTTGCTGCTTTCTTTTTTGCTAGAACTTTGTTGCCATTTGTCTTAAATTTCAGTTGGTGAGATGCAGGTTTTCACCATTTTGGATTAATAAAGACAGCTGTTGTCCAACTTGTTTTTGAAAGGAAAATGACAATAATACTACAATAATTATTAAAAGCAATGCTTTTAGCACAATGGTTCTACAGTTTATTTTTTTTCTGTTAATGCCATCCCAAACAATCTAATTGTGTGAATAATAATATATATATTTCTAGTTATTGTGGTTGTTTTAGATTTTTCTAAAATCTAAGAAATCGGGCAACTAGCGGATCTGATTATGAATACTAGTTCCCATCACAAAAATTTTGAAAAAAAAAATGTTGTTTAAAAGTAAATGTGTGTAAAGGCTATCTCAAAAACACCCTAAGAGGGTGAGCAATTATACTCTAGTTTGTCTTCTTTTTTCTAGAAGCATTAATTTGTCTAAATATTAATTAGCCTAATTAGTCAAGCTAAATACTAATTAGCAGTAATTATAGTAAAATTGAATAATTCCTATTAAATGTATGGTGACCTCTTAAATTCCCAAAATTAAACAAACTCTTAGTTATATATTTTTTGGATTAAGGGTTTAAATTGATAAGCGTAGAGCTTAATTTTATTAATTATTTTAGAGAAGATTTGATCTTGATATTTTAAGATTGTTGTTTTTAACGAAGTCCTTGTTGGAGGTTATAAAAAATTAAAGTGGATGGTACCCCGGATTACCAAGTAGAGGCTAGGCTATCATAAAGGTTTATAATTGAGGTTACAATAGTCTTCAATGATAGTTAATAATTAATGTTATGAGATCAACATTTTATTGTATAACTTTACATACTCCTTACTTGTATGTTTGTAAGAAGTGGCAACAGGAGGAGAGGAAGAGAGAAGAGGGCTTTCATTCGAGAAAGAATGGAAGAAATATTTCAAGTGCTTGTAGGTAGAGTTCTTCTTCAAGAAAGAAGTCTAGCTCTCATCTTCATAGTAATGACTGCATTTTCACTCGATTAGATAATGTGGTATCTTTGTTCATTTTTTCAATTTAATATGAAGTGTTATTTTTTTAATGTATTTATCTATAGATTTGTGGGTTATTTGATCTCTATACGATTTTGGATATGGTTTGCTTAAGCCAAATTGTATAAATTTTTGTGGTTCTATATATATATATATATATATATATATATACCTTGTGGCTTATTGTATTTACCATTCAGTTTAGGGAACTCTTTTTATTAAAAGCTGAAATCCAAGTGACATTATAGTAAGTATGATGGCCATGAAATTTTAGATTATGTGATTTATTTATCTAAGAGTTTTGGCCTTTGGAGAATCAAGATGCGTGGTATACTTATCTAATAGGGTTTTGTAGAAGTACTCATGAGATATAAAAAAAATGCTGATATCATGAGTGAAGAAGACAAGATTGTGATTAATGCGACGGTGAGATCTTGATCTTAGAGGAAATAATGGTAGAAGCAAAGGTTTATGGCTCTAGTTAAACCAAAAACCTCTCCAACAAACACTATTAACAAAAAAATTATTTATTTCATATGTAGGAATGTATTCCTATTAAATCATATTTAAATGTGTTTAATTCTATCATTCTAGATTTAAGGAATACTGATGTGATTATTGGTGATGAAGATCAAGCTTCATTTTTCTTGTATAAACATTTTTAAAATATCATATTATATAATCACAATATAATAAGCTTAAAGGATGCTAAAAATTCACTTCTTTCAAAAAGAGATGATTTCTAAGTTTGAAGGAAGTGATAGACCAGTTGAAGGTTTATTGCAGGATAAGGAGTGGTTCTATGAGTGAGAATTCTCTTCTAATCATGGTAGAACCAAGCCTTCGATTAAAATTAAAAATATTATTTATTAATATCGTAAAAAGAATATGAAGAAAAAATTATTTTGCTTTTAGGAAGAGAGAACAAGAATAGGATGATGACCAAAAAATGATAAATCAGTTCATGCAAGTATGTTTATAAATTTTTAGGAACTTTTTTGTTATAAATTCAGTGATATTCTTGTGACGAGTAAAGACAATAGATTAAAAATAATAGATTTAGATTCAACTTTTCTTTATAATGTGTTCTAATTTAGATATGTTTTTCACATATGGGTGTGTTTTGATTGGAAATGGAGCTATATCAAAAAATTGAAGGTTCTAATATTGTGAAATTAAAAGTGCATGATGGTATAATCATATAGTTTGCTCGAGTAAGCTATGTATCAAATTTAAAGAAGAATTTAATAATTTTAAGCATTATTTTTATTGCAGCATATAAAATATGTGGTGATATTGACATTTGACATTCATAAGGTCTTTAAGAGCCTATTAGTTGTCTTAAATCAAATAGACTTAGGGGACTCTACATTGTTGTATGTTATTATTGTTTTTAACAAATATGGTGGCAAACTGTCATGAAACGAAAATGATTTTATAAATATGACATCAAATATAAAAAATGCGGAAGTTGTTGTGTACTTAATTGTTGATGATTTTGAAAAAGTGTTGCAAAATAAGATTTCTATCAAGTGGAACTTCCAAAGTATTGATGGGCATTGTATGATAGGGAAAAAATCAAAATAAAACAACAACATGATAATTACAAAGTCTGGTCAGTTAGCTTCCGATGGATTGAGACAGCACAAAGTTTTAGAAGTATTTTAATCATTATTATTAAGCTAGTACATTGAAAATTTAGAGTTCAAATGGGAGAATAGAATCAAATTTTTTTAATTATTTTAGATAATATTTAATTATAGTTTTTAAATATTAAGGGCCATCACAACATTCTAATTAGAGGATACCAAAAAGTCCTAATTGGAAGCTATCATAAAGACTAGAATGGGGCTACAAAACTATTTAATGGTGGTTGATAATTAATGTTAGAAAGTGAAGATTTCACTATAACTCATATAATCTTCATTTGTACAACATTTACAAGAAAAAGTAATAAAGAGATGGGAAGAATAGGAAAAGAGAAGAGGGGGGTCATCTAAGAATGAAAGAAGAAGCCTTTAGGGTGCTTCCAATTAGAGTTTTTTGGCTTCTTCAAGAAAGAAATCTTGCCCTCATGCACTAGGTGATTGCATTTTCTTTTATCTATACAATGTGGTATCCTTGTCTCTATCTAATTTTATATGAAGTGTAATTTGTCATGTATTTAAGTTTAATGGGTTATTTGATCTATTTGAGGCTAAGGTTACTCATAAGGGTGGGTCACTTACAATTCAAGGCGGCAACTTCATACCTTGAAGATTATTTTTGTTGCCCTCTTTATTGGATTCTATTTTTTATTTTGCCACCTCAATAAATTTTTTTTCCCAAAACTAAGGAAAAAAATTAACTTTTTATCTTCTTACCCTCAAAAGAGGGTTTGGTTCCGCTTTACTTACTTGAGCCGAGCTATATAAATTCATTGCACCTGTGCTTAGATTGAGGGTTCTCTATTTCCTAGCATAAAGGTTTCTCTTCATAGATTAACAAAGCAGCCCATATACATATACATATATATATATATATATATATAT